AGAAATTAAATCCATTTCTAAAGAGCTTTTTGTCAAAGATCAGAGATCAAATGTGGTGATTATTGGAGTTGGGAACTCCATCTACCAACTTCTCACCATCCCCTCAGAGGAATCTTTGAATCCTGAAGTGCTATTTTGTTCCTGTGACATTTTGTCCAAAGCCTTTAAAGCTTCCTTTGACCTAGAAAAGTGTCTGCTCAAATGGCTCCACCATAGAATTTGCTCTAAGCTCCAACAGAGTTTCCATCTTTAGATGGACAATAAATATTGCTATTCTATAGTGCCATCGTAACGGAGAGTGTTAGGAGTCAGGGTGGTATTCGGACTGGCCCTCTGAACCTCTGCAGGTCAGCCTAGGGTCCTCACTGTGTGTCTCAGTGCTGCTAATAGAGCTGTCACCACTCTCTCACTTTACAGCCCAGGCACACATGAATCAGTCAACACACATACACACACACACACACCTGCATGGACACATTTTCACACGAATGGACACACACACTTGCCTAACCAGCCACTGCATACACAAAGATAGGGTCAAGTGCCAATTGGAACCTAGCCAAAAACTCCCTCTCCCACACTGATGTTTAGCCTTTTAACTCTGCTGTCCACTGCTGGCACTGTCTGCCTCTACCTGTGTAATCCACAACCCACCCATGCAGAGACATGTCAATCATGTGGGCTTCCAAGCAAAACCGGTATCCACTGGAGAGATTGGGAGGCAGCAGAATTGTCACAATAAATCTCTGTTAGGCAGAGGACGGGTGAACAAGCTTCTATGGAGGAGTGTGAGCTAGTCCCCTGAAACCAGCCCCCTGCAGTGGCCCACACATTAATAACTTTAATACTGTTATCACAATAATCAGCTGGCATGAAATTATATTTACAGGAATTGAAAGTTAATACATGCAGATTGTAATCTGATTACACAAGAGTCAGTACCAGAGTTTGACGGTATTCTGTGGGAACTCTTAGCTTAGTCTCTTTTATAGAGGGAAGGACTTTTTAAAAGATGTGTCGTTGCTGAAGGGGAAAATGATCTTTGAGCCAAGCAAAGCATGATTAATCTACACCTCGGCTGGAGTTATAGTTCTCTGAACAGTATAATCAGGTCATTATATGTATTTCTGCCTGGGCAAAAGGAGATACATTTCAAATATCAGACTGTAGAGTTAACTGTTACTGTAACTTTGGGAAAGAGAGTGATAATAGGCACAGTCTAGATTCAGATTGGAACGTTTGTCCTTATTACATACTGAACAATTGACTAAATGCATGTATTCTAGTGAATGTTTTACCAGTAGGTTTTCAGTACAATTGACCCTGACTGGACCAGACAGCAACAGCCAGGTTTGAGCTAATAGTCAGATGATTACCTTTTCCTGGGATACAACCTTTTCCAGGCAATATAACAGTCCTCTAACACGTTGTTGTAGCTCGGACTAGTATAAACAAATACAAGCAGTAAATAATTATTCATATAATATATATTTAGAGAAATGTGCAGAGAGGAGTTCAGACATATCAGCAGCATCAATATTAACAACCTCACAACAAACGTGTCCAGGTAAGTACACATTTAGTGCAGAGAGAGAGAGGTAGAGTGGTGTCCATTAGTGATGCGCGGGTCAGCTGTTTGTTCACCCGCAACCGCCCGCAATTGCTATTCAGTGGTGTAAAGTACTTAATTAAAAATACTTTAAAGTACTTAAGTAGTTTTTTTTGGTATCTGTACTTTACTTTACTATTTATATTTTGGACAACTTTTACTTCACTACATTCCTAAAGAAAATATTGTATTTTTTATTCCATACATTTTCCCTGACACCCAAAAGTACTCGTTACATTTTGAATGCTTAGCAGGACAGGAAAATGGTCCAATTCACATACTTATCAAGAGAACATCCCTGGTCATCCCTATTGCCTCTGATCTGGCAGACTCACTAAACACAAATGCTTAGTTTGTAAAGATGTCTGAGTGTTGGAGTGTGCCCCTGGCTATCCTTAAATAAAAAATAAAAAAAATTGTGCCGTTTGGGTAATATAGAGAATTTGAAATGATTTATACATTTACTTTTACTTTCATTACTTAAGTATGTTTTAGCAATTACATTTACTTTTGATACTTAAGTATATTTAAAACCAAATACTTTTAGACTTTTACTCATGTAGTATTTTACTGGGTGACTTTCACTTTTACTTGAGTAATTTTCTGTTAAGGTATCTTTACTTTAACTCAAGTATGACAATTGGGTACTCTTTCCACTACTGTTGCTATTAACCCATCCGCAACCCCTGACTAAGTGAAAATCTGAGGCCCACATCCAACCTAACCCGCAAATATAGAATATGCGCTATACAGTCAGAGATGGCGGAACAATTTCTTTACATGCCTTTTTAGATATAGGCCTGTTTCTGTTTATAATTTCCCAAATTTTTGTTAGACAACTTGTCTATAATTAGATAAATGCAGCTTCTCTTCTGTCATTACTTGTTGCCCTAGAAAACAAACTTCACCGATGTCAACTAGGTTGAATAATAACCAGAATAATGTCATAAATCGATAGAATGAATGCTTCAACCTAGTTGACATCGGTAAAGTTTTTCTCTTTCCTCTTTAATCTCTGCTTCTCTCGCTCAGCAAAGATGGTTAGGGACCGGGAAGAAAATGTAAAAAGGAAATTAAAAGCTATTAAAACGACCCAACATGTTTTTGATAAGATTTCAGTTCGGCTTGGATGCATATTTTATGTGGTTGAAATACAGATTTTATGATGCTGACTAAAGATAGCACCGTTACAGATGGTCGCTAACCGCGCATTCATTTTCTCAAGATGCTGAAAGAAATTAATCATATTTCTCCACTCCTGCTCAAAATGTACATTTGGTGTATAATTTTACTGCAAGAAATGCTTAATTCTGCAGGAGTTCATATTAGGCTATGTGAGAGGTTATAGACCTACAGTGCCTTCGGAAAGTATTCAGACCCCTTGACTTTTTCCACATTTTGTTACGTTACAGCCTTATTCTAAAATGGATTAAATAAAACATTTTCCTCAGCAATCTACACACAATACCCCATAATGACAAAGCGAAAACAGGTTTTTAGAAATGTTTGCAAGTGTATTAAAAATAAAAAAGCATCTGCTGATGTAAAAAAGGGCTTTATAAATACATTTGATTGAAGTACCTTATTTACATATGTATTCAGAACCTTTGCTATGAGACTCGAAATTGAGCTCAGGTGCATCCTGTTTCCATTGATCACCCTTGAGATGTTTCTACAACTTGATTGAGTCCCCCTGTGGTACATTCAATTGATTGGACATCATTTGGAAAGGCACACACCTGTCTATATAAGGTCCCACAGTTGATAGTGCATGTCAGAGCAAAAACCAAGCCATGAGGTCGAAGGAATTGTCCGTAGAGCTCCGAGACAGGATTGTGCCGAGGCACAGATTTGGAGAAGGGTACCAAAACATTTTATGCAGCATTGAAGGTCCCCAAGAACACACTGGCCATCATTCTTAAATGGAAGAAGTTTGGAACCACCAAGACTCTTCCTAGAGCTGGCCGCCCGGCCAAACTGAGCAATTGGGGGAGAAGGGCCTTGGTCAGGGAGGTGACGAAGAACCCGATGGTCACTCTGCCAGAGCTCTAGAGTTCCTCTGTGGATATTGGAGAATCTTCCAGAAGGACAACCATCTCTGCAGTACTCCATCAATCAGGCCTTTTTGGTAGAGTGGCCAGTCGGAAGGCACTCCTCAGTAAAAGGCACATGACAACCCACTTGGAGTTTGCCAAAAGGCACCTAAAGACTCTCAGACCATGAGAAACAAGATTCTCTGGTCTGATGAAACCAAGATTGAACTCTTTGGCCAGAATGGCAAGAATCACGTCTGGAGGAACCTGGCACCATCCCTACGGTGAAGCATGGTGGTAGCAAGCATCATGCTGTGGGGATGTTTTTCAATGGCAGGGACTGGGAGACTAGTCAGGATTGAGGCAAAGATGAACAGAACAAAGTACAGAGAGATCCTTGATGAAAACCTGCTCCAGAGCGTTCAGGACCTCAGACTGGGACGAAAGGTTCACCTTCCGCTGCCAAAGGTGCTTCAACAAAGTACTGAATAAAGGGTCTGAATATGTATGTAAATGTTTTTTAAAAATTAAATTCTAAAAACCTGTTTTTGCTTTGTCATTATGGGGTATTGTGTGTAGATTGATAAGGGAAAAAAACGAATTAATACATTTTAGAATAAGGCTGTAACGTAACAAAATGTGGAAGAAGTCAAGGGGTCTGAATACTTTCACTAAGGCTACTATTGCATTTAACCCGGACAGTACAATTTCCTTGACATATCATTTTGACAATATCACAATATAATTTTTGCGCTTGTTGCCTGTATGCCTGCACTAAAACTCCAGTATTTTTCCTTCATAGCTTGTTCTCCATCTTCTTTTTAAATAGGGAACCAATTTGTTTTCAGCACTTTCATTTCCATAAAAACGTGTTGTCTCATGGCTCTCTCTTGTCTCTCTGCAGCAGACATATGATGAGCAATATGTTTGGAACATTGAATCGCAATAAAATCACAATATCAAATCGCAATACATATAGAATCGTGAGAATCGCAATACAGATCATATCGGCACCTAAGTGTCGTGATAATATTGTATCGTAAGGTCCCTGGGAATTCCCAGGCCTAATCACTAGTGGCCATGGCATGTTAGTGTGCTCACTTGAGCTGTAGTATCATGCCACTGTAAAGATGGTATCAGAAAGCATCACAGTACCCTTGGGAATACAAGGGGACAGCATAACAGCACAGCAATAATACACAAATGAGATCAAATGCTAACTCAAACGTGTGTTTTTTGTGTGTTTTTTGTGTGTTTCTGTGTATCTCTGTGTGTGTGCCTGTGTATGTCTGCGCATTACCCCACAGGAGAGGGAGTTGCTGGGCCGTATCTCAGACCTGCAGGAGGAGGTGGTAAGGAGGAAGAACCACATCGCTGAGCTGGACCACGAAATACACACACTGAATGAAAACATCAACACGCTCACCAAGGAGCTGGAACTTAAGGGCAAGGAGGTGCTGAAGATCCGCAGCGAGGCCAACCAACAGATCAGGTGGGTGGGAAGAGAGGGCAGGAGGGGAGGAGGGGATAGCCGTGACCCCACCACAGGGCATTATGGGGTGACACAAAGGAGGGTTGACACAATAACAGGCCATCTACAGTAAAGCTGTTCCGGCACATTGCCAAACTTAATTACAATGTCTTCAGAAAGTTTTCATACCCCTGTTACAGCCTGAATTCAAAATGGATTAAATATATTTATTTTCTCAGCCTTCTACACTTAATGAAACATAGAAATGTTTGCAAATGTATTGAAAATGAAATACAGAAATATCTAATTTACATAAGTATTCACACCCCTGAGTCAATACATGTTAGAATCACCTTTGGCAGCGATTACAGATGTGAGTCTTTCTGGGTAAGTCTCTAAGAGCTTTGCATACCTTGATTGTACAATATCTGCACATTATTCTTTTTTAAATTCTTCAAGTTCTGTCAAGTTGGTTGTTGGTCATTGCTTGACAGCCATTTTCAAGTTTTGCCATAGATTACCAAGCCGATTTAAGTCAAAACTGTAACTACAGTAGGCCATTCAGGAACATTCAATTTGTCTTGGTAAGCAACTCCAGTGTATATTTGTCTTTTAGGTTATTGTCCTGGTGAAAGGTGAATTTGTCTCCCTGTGTCTGTTGGAAAGCAGACTGAATCAGGTTTTCCTCTTGGATTTTGCCTGTGCTTTTTATCCTAAAAAACTCCCTAGTCCTTGCCGATGACAACCGTACCCATAACATGATGCAGCCACCACCATGCATGAAAATATTCAATGTCTGCTTTTTTTTCTACCCATCTACCAATAGGGGCCCTTCTTTGCGAGTCATTGGACAACCTCCCTTGTCTTTGTGGTTGAATCTGTGTTTGAAATTCACAGCTCGACTGAGGGACCTTACAGATAATTGTATGTGTGGGGTACATATTTTTTGTGGAACTTATTTAGGCTTGCCATAACAAAGGATTTGAATACTAATTGACTCAAGACATTTCAGCTTTTCATTTTTAATTAATTTGTAAAAAGTTCTAAAAACATAATTCCACTTGAGATTTTGGGGTATTGTGTGTAGGCTTGTGACACAAAATCTCAATGTAATCCATTTCAAAATGAGGCTGTAACAAGGGGTGTGGATACTTTATGAGGGCACTGTAGGTGAATCTATTGAATCTCTGTATGCTATCCCTGCAGGTGAATGCCTGTACCTAGTTTTAATATGGTCACAATTAAGGTTTTTAGCATGTTTAGTTCATTCAGATGACTGGTGAATCACAACACGAGAAGTTCAGTTGTGTGACTTCCTCTTGTTTAGATGTGACTGTCAGTAGCCATTGGCAGTGCTTGCATCGTTTTCAAGTTAGATTAAAGTGGAAGGATACTGGCAGAAAGTGAGGAGGCCAATTTGCCTCTCCCTGCTGGAAGTCCTGGTTTATATTTTGTGCTCTATTATTCCCTTTGATGACTTGGTCCCTTTTGACATTTGTTATTTTCCTCTAGTTTAATGGTCAAATAAATTGATAAGGAAATATGAAAGGGTTATTTGGGGCAGGGCCTAAATATAATCTATCATCATGCTTTTCCCACAGGATGATAATTAATAATTCACTCTTATATTAATTCATAATGTGGGCTAAGGCCTGGATGGAATGAACGGCAGGAACTCTCATTAGAATGAAAGGCCTGTTTGGTGATGAATAAAAAATGGAGGCTGACGCTTTTCTAGAGCTTGAGATAACTAAGCACATGGGGCTAGTGTTTGAGTGCGCATGTGTGTGCATTAGCGCACACGTGTTTGTGCGTGCATCCACGCGTGTGTGCATGCATGTGTGACGTCAACGACACCCAGCGCTGGCAGGATTCCAAGCCCATCATGGAGCACGTTTCACTTCCAATTATGTAACACGCTGGCAAATCCTCGTTTCCTGAGATAAAAATAACAGAATAAATAAATACATTGGAAATGATGTGTGTCCCTGAGGGTGTTACTCAGGGAGAGGCAAACATATTCCTCTGCACTCCTCGTGGTCTCTCTCTGTCTCTCTCTCTCTCTCTGACTGCAGGACCTCGGAGTGAGCAGCACTGCCATATAGCTTACATAGGGAGAGAGTCACCGCTACTATGCAGGGAATTTCAATGAGCTGGTGAAATGTCCTGTGTTTTTTCCACAAATGGCGAAACAGCAGTGATACCTCTCCTCCAGAGCCCCCTGCTAAAAATGATGTATGTCTTTCTTGGAAAGGAAAGGACAAGTATGTCAGGAAACGAAAGAAAGTCAAAGATGAACACAATTTGAATGGCTCCAGCAGGATCAAAAGGAATGTGTCTGTGATAATTGTGCCGAGTTAAGATACTGTAATACCTCTGGACCGGGGCCTCAGAGCCTCAGAGCTGGAGAGGCGTTTAAAGACGTGTGATCTAAATGGGCTTTAATGGTCTGGTCTCTTCTCATCAGGGCTCATGAACAGGACCTGTGTAAGAAACACGAGCGGGAGATGGCTGAGATGAACGCCATGCACAACAGAGAGACTCAGAACATGCTGTGTGACTTCAACAAGGCCCAGGAGCTCCTCAAAGACAAGATCTCTGCTCTGCAAGTCCTGTACGTACAGTACATTCAGTATGTAGTTGATATAGCACTATATGTGTGTGCAGGTGGTGGTATGTGGGAGAGAGAGAGAGAGAGAGAGAGAGAGAGAGAGAGAGAGAGAGAGAGAGAGAGAGAGAGAGAGAGACAGAGAGAGAGAGAGAGAGAGATTATATAAAGCCCTGGCAGATGATGAAAGACCACAGTCCCTGGCAGAGCAACAGAGGGTGAAAAGGTGAGTGCCCCAGACAGATACAGGGATGAATGGAAGGAGGAAGGAAGGATGAGAGGGAAGGATGGATTCGAGAGGGGGTCTGCACATGACCTCCGGAGGTGAATATGGCCCATTGGGAAGGTCCTTTCCTCTTTCCTTACCCTCCCAGTAGTACAGATACATGGAGGTGACTGTGTCTTCAATATCCCATCACACCCACAATGTCCATGTAGCGGTGTCCTACTGGGGATAAACCTCCAGCTGGGTGTGCAGCTGCCCTAGCTTTCAAGACACCACAATACACACACAGTACACACACAATACACACACAGTACACACACACACACCAGAAAATACGAACATAGACATAGAAAACTCCCCTGCAGACTACTCTGAATAGATCAATGGAGATGTACTGTAATGATTATGGAAATGAAATAGGAATAAAAGGCAGCTAAAGCACACAATAATGATTTGTAGGTCTCTATTGGAAATATCTTTGGGATATGGGAGAGGGAAAGGGAGAGAAGGAGAGGGAGGAACAGATGTACATGCCTCAGCGAGGGCCCTAGGACTGGATTTTGCTGTCAGGAGTGACCTAATTTGGTTTCACTTGAATGAGAGCACGATCTAGACAGAAAGCCAGCTACTGCAGAGAGAGCCTCTGTTATAAATAGCTCATCTGTGATGTTCCCCACCAATTGTTCTCATGGCTCAATCACTCCTTTCACAACATCAAAATGAAATGCTAGTGAAGCATACATCATTATTTGTGCACATGTTCCTCCATGAATTTGACTGACAAACAGAATCCATTAAAATCCTGTAAAAATAGGTCACATTGGCCCTACACAGATTGTTTTGTTGCTAACCTTTCTAAAACCAACAATTAGCTGCTGGTCCGAGCCACTGTCATTCTCAATTTGCTGACTAGTTGACATTTCCAGGGCCTTCCCTTGAGGTGGCCAATTTACTGCCTACTAATTAAGCACAGGACAAATCTATTTTAACGACAGCCACTGTCCCCTCCCCAATTAATCACCATGGCAGCTTCATTCCCCCAAAGCCAGTCCCTGGCCACCACTAAATTATTACGCCATTTAAGCTTTATTAATATTTGATCTCATTACATCTCCTATTGGTTAAGCCCCTGGGAACCAACACACGTTTGTTGTCTGATTGGTTGTTGTCACATCTGTTTTGAGTGATGTCGCTGGAGAGTTGAGTGGAGTGTGATGATGATATATTTATTGAAAGCAAGCCAGCACCAGCTTCCCAGGCTGCACTGCAGCAACATGCTTATTTCACACGGTTTGTGTTTGGAGTATGTGTAGGGATGCAGACAGTGGTGGAAAGAGTACCCAATTGTCATACTTGAGTAAAAGTAAAGATACCTTAATAGAAAATTACTAAAGTAAAAGTGAAAGTCACCCAGGAAAATACTACTTGAGTTAAAGTCTAAAAGTAATTGGTTTTAAATATACTTAAGTATCAAAAGTAAATGTAATTGCTAAAATATACTTAAGTATTGAAAGTAAAAGTATAAATCATTTCAAATTCACTATATTAAGCAAACCAGACGGCACCGTTTTCTTGTTTTTTTATTTATGGATAGCCAGGGGCACACTCCAACACTCAGACATCTTTACAAACTAAGCATTTGTGTTTAGTGAGTCTGTCAGACCAGAGGCAATAGGGATGACCAGGTATGTTCTCTTGATAAGTGTGTGAATTGGACAATTTTTCTGTCCTGCTAAGCATTCAAAATGTAACGAGTACTTTTGGGTCTCAGGGAAAATGTATGGAATAAAAAATACCTTATTTTCTTTAGAAATGTAGTGAAGTAAAAGTAAAAGTTGTCCAAAATATAAATAGTAAAGTACAGATACCCCAAAAAACTACTTAAGTAGTACTTTAAAGTATATTTACTTAAGTACTTTACACCACTGGATGCAGATGAGTCTATAGTGAAATGTGACACTGAAGTAATGTGTAGTAGATACTGTTTCTGTCAATGAAGCAAGAAATGAACAGATCGCTGATGCATAGCAGCGTAGAAGAAGCGATTATCATGATATCCAATATGCTCTCCCTCTAAAATTCAAGCGTGTGCCTGTCCCTGTCTTGCGTCGGCGTTTGATGGCGAGTTTGGTATCACTTGTCATTCCACATCTGTAGTGCTGAGGACGTCAAGCCAAACTGGACATGATGGATGCTTGTTTAGAGTACAAATAATATCTTGGCATATTAAAGTCATAAATCTCAAGTTAGAGGCAGCACAAAACTGTGGAGAGGCAGATGGCTTTGAACACTGATAAGAACTCTTCTAAAGGGCGCTTGTTATGTGTTGAGACGTTAGTGGAATTCAGGAAAAACATTTACTGCATCTTTTTGATCATAGTAATACACCAGCACTAATAGCCTTTTTGATTATGAGATTAAACGTAGGAGAGGTAAAAGCTAATGCTTTACTATTGAGCTGTAGGTAAGGGAAGGGAAGCTTTTAAAACATGCTCCCTCAGTGTCTACATGTATTAATGCTCATATCCCCAAGCTGATCCAAGGCACTTTTATTATCACGTTACACAAACAAACAGATCAATAACTTAACTTTATCTCAAGTAAACTTTGTTTCCACACTGGGCTGTGAGGAAACTGTGAGACATCTGAGCCCTAATGGCCCCCTCCTCTCCCCAGGCTGGAAGGCACGGAGGATAAGTTCCGGAACAGGGAGAGCCGGCCTGAGGATCTGCAGGTGATCGCTGAGCTAAAGGACATGGTGACTGAGAGGGAGTCCCTCGTCAAGAAGCTGGTGGTAAGTGTATGTACACAGTACAAGATGGCCTACAGGATGCCCTTGTGTCGTTTTACCCAACAATCCTAGACATGGAGCCTGCATGCCAGTCTACCTCTGAACAATAGTAGCCCAGACTATGGAGTGCTCTAACCTTGCATGACTAAGAGTTCTCATACAGCAGCAGTAGACTCAGAGAGGTATGTTACAGCCCTTGAGTCCCAACAATGCATTCTGGCAGGTTATTCAGTATACTGTATCTATGACTAAGTGTCTGTGGCACTAGAGAGAGTGGATAGAAACCCTCTGACTTTTGCAAGTTCTATCATACTGTACTGCTAAGCCCATTGTAGACATTAGAGTATGTGAGGTATGTCATAAACAATCAATGAGATGCTCCATCACTAACCCAGAGAACCATGACCTAACTGGCATCTCTCTGTGGACATGCAGGACGACAAAAAGTTCTACCAGCTGGAGTTGGTGAACAGAGAGACCAACTTCAACAAAGTGTTCAACACCAGTCCCAACGTGGGTGTAATAAATCCCCTCATCAAGGTGAGCTGACATCTGCAGACTAACACACCTCAGACACAAGGCTAACACACCTCTGGATTAACACTGACAATCAGTTGATTAGAGCCATATAGCTAATCTGAACTAATCTTTGACACTTTGTGAAGACCAAAAGCTACCGGTGATCATTTGAAACCATTAGGGAACCATCACTATCATTACAAGCCTAAACCAGTAGCCTGTACATCATTGTAGAGAATGATTGAAGTGGAGATTTTAAGTTGCCTCTCCACATATATTTAGCCTTGATTTCCATTGGAACCATTCCATCCCTTAGTGGAGAAGTTGTGTCCCATTCCAATGTAAACACAGCAATCCCCTGTCTCCCAGTTGAATGGATCACTCTGCATGGTCAATATGTAACTGTTGACTCCATTTCAAGTTCTATAACTTCCGATATTTTGGTTCAGTGTTACATATTATGTGTGTTTGTACATTTATGTGTGTGTGTGTGTGGGATTGTGTGTGTGTTAGTCAGTGTGTGTGTGTGTGTTATCTCCCTGTCAGACATCCAGTTCTCCTTTGCTTTCCAAGCCATTCTTTGTTAGTGTAAACTTTATGTAGCCTCTTCCTTTGATGCATTCCCTTTTGCTCATCTTAATTTACATATTATAGCTGAGAGCGACTGTTGCTTCACTAGCTGAGTGGTGCGAGCTTGACCTTCAGAAAGCCTCCATCCACATAAATCCTCGAAGAGAATGAGAAATATATAAATCTATATATACAGCAGTCTTTTCTCCATTGGACTAGCTCTCCCTTTCCATTTGTTTTTGTTTTTGTCCTTCTGTGTAGCAAAAGAGAAAGAATGACAAATCAGCAAACAGATTCAGCAGCTCTCCAAACCTCAGGGCTCTGGAGGCGGCGGGAACAGGGACGGGGAGCGGGCAACCCCAGCCCAACCGCCTAGAGCCTATCCCCAACTCCCCCATTCACCACCTTGAGCTCAACACTAGCAAACCTCTGCCCCCACCGACCCCTCCGACAGAGCCCAAGAAATTCATGAGGTGAGCGCCGCCCCTCCCTCGCCGCTGACGCCTCCGTCCGCACTATGGGCAGGCCCAGGGTTCAAGCACACTGACACACAGACAGACAGAGGCTTGCCCTGACCCTTGGCCCATACAGCTGCAGATAGGCAGCTTTCATACAAACCTTTCCAAAGTCAGCTGCCATATCCCTTTCTGATGGGCTTCAGTCTTTGAAAGAAACTTCTCAATGTGACCCTCACTGGCGGATGTTGATGTTCTTCCCCCCTCTCTCTCAGACCTCGCTCTGATAAACAAAAGAGCGTTAAATTAGAAATTACAGAAAAAAAAATAACACTCCAGTCTGGAACTTTAATTACCTTGAATAATAGATTAAGTTGCCTGTTGCCAACAGGCTGAGGGTTCATCCAAGGATTCCCTCTTGATTGCTATTCTATTTGAAGGACATGATAGTTTTTGTCTTTGCCTGCAGTTTCTGCAAGGCTTTGATTGCATCCCCTTGAGAATTGGCTTTTGGAGAGAGGCAGAGCTCCCCCGTTACCCCCTCCCCCCAAACACTTCTATGTCAACTCATCTTTACTTTATACCAGGAAGTCAGTGACTTCACATGAGGGTTTCTTTTCAAACACACAACACAATATATTCCAGCTGAACCTACATACACTGCTGGAAATGTATCAACACTTTACTATACTGTTATAAAGTATAGTAAATACATGAGCTTTGAAAATGGCATTGGAATGCAAAAGGAGCATGTGTACCACTACTCCCAACCATCACTCTTAACATGCTAACTAAAGTGTGCACGCTAGGAGTTGCGTCTCTCTGTGTCTCTGTGTTGTGTTAATTGTTCCGTTTGTTATGGAAGTTATAGGCCTACAACTCATTGGTGATGTTGTTGTTCTGTTAAACCCCCTCATCCTCATCGGCCTCCAGGCATGCTGCTCTTACTGCACTTTGTTGTCCACTTTGATGTGAAATTGTTTGATTTTACATGAGGAAAATATGCTTGTGTAATATAGATTGGTGATGATATTTTCTTGCCATGTACAGTTCTGTGTGTGGGGATGTGTGAACGTCTAACTGTTGGAAGCCTCCGATAACAACAACACTCTCCCTCTCATCAATGAACCCCTCTCTCTCTCGTGCCTTGGCATTGCTTTGCTCATTGTTGTGCTTCCAGCTATAATTCTTTGTGTGTATTAAGCACACGTGTTAATGTGGTACTCTCTTGTGCATGTGTTGTACTAGCTTATGATGCCTGCACTCGTGTGCACTGTGCCTTTGAGCTTTGGGTGTTTGTTTTGCATTTGCTGCATGCTGCTCTGTTTGTAAATAAGTTGCAGATGAGTCGGAGTGGCGGATTTGTGCGGGGCTGCCCTCCATTGTCATGGGACTCTCCCATCACTGCATCACACACACGGCCTGTCTGTCTCAGCCCCTGTCAAGGTGACCCTGTTTCCACTTAGCAACAGATGCACCACCGCATACCACATACCAACTGAAGCATATACCACACATATTAACTGAACTGCAGATGCAAATTATGACACATTGGGGCCATGTATTACATTTGTATTACAGATTATTCAAAGGCTGCTTCTATCTCTTTGCGTGCAGTGCTCCTGAAATGCTGCACTATTTCGATTCACGAGGTCTATACCAGAATACAAATGCTTTAGTACTTGGAGAAGATACCTAGATCAATATAACTTCTTAATTCAGCTCACCAGCAAATGTGTAGCACAACACATGTGCATACATACTTGAGTTTTCCCGATGGAAAACACTAGTATGCGTGCTTATGCCATTTCTCTGCTTCTAGCTTTTGATGTTGTTGAAGTCAGCCCTGTCCATCTCAGCCCAGGTGTTCTCTGGATCTGAAATTGGTGATGAACAGACCAATATGCATGCTCAGTTGAGCATTAAATTGGGTTTGCTGCAATGGAAGCTAATGAGACTGAGGAGAGAATGATCACAGAGGAGATATTTTTGGATAGTTCTCAGAGACAAACAGTTCAAGCTCTGCACAGGATGAAGAAGCCACCTGTCTTTAATTAAAAACGTCAGACATTTTCAGCTCAGTCAGGGTAGTACAGTTGGTGCAGTACAGACTGTGTTTATTCATTTGTATCATCTAGTCATGATAATAATAAGACCTTTAAGTTTAGAGGATGTTATTTGACATGACAACTGTGGAAATAACCATAGTAGGAAATTAAAACTCAAAAGTATCTAAAGTTACATAGTTCTTTATCAGATCCCAGACTGCAATTTCCTTGCCTTTGTGTTTGTCAAATATGAACTGCAATATAAAGGTATGAGTCATAAATCACTGAGATCTTTTCATCTTGAACTCCTTGTACACTAGTTGTTGAGAGGAGAGTGCTTCACGTTATTACAGTATGTTCTGTTCTGACATTTCAATGAGAGTTCTCCTCCCACTCCTCCTTTTTGGCTCTCCAGACAGTCGGATGTCAAGCCTTTCATAGATAGTCATCTGGTGCCCATCAACGGATTAACGACCCCTCAACACATGAGGCTGAGGGAGGGCCCTAGACACCAGGCAGCCTGTCAGTCAGTCAGCAAGTCATCCAGATAGATAGCCAGACAGACAGACAGCCAGCCAGCCAGACAGACAGCCAGAGATATATCTAGCTCTATAGGCAAAGAGCAAAGGTTATTTTATGTGGAATATAGCTGCAATGTTAGAATACAGTGATGTTTGTTGGTGTTTATTGTGAATTTTCAATGCCAGTGCTATGGTCAAGCCAGCAAGCCAGTGAAATGCATTAGGTTGAATATGCTATATCTTAGGTAGACTTAGAACAAACCACAATAGGCAAGGTTATGGTCTTTCAATACATTTTTATTCTCACATTTTTTCCTTGGGGTTATAATTGGATTGACTTTTCAGAAACGACAGAGTAGTAGTATATAGGATTTTGAATAGATGCATTCACATATTTGTATAACCAAGACAGCATCCTCCCCCAAGGACCTGAGTCAAAGATTAACAACTGCATGGTCTTGTAATTCAATCTAACAAAACTTAATGGCTGGATGATCATGTACAACAGAAAAGGTTGAGTTAATACAGCCACGGGCTCTCTTAAAAATGAGCACACTTAACTCGGTTAAAGGCTGATTAGTGCAACGGAAATGTTCTTGTTTTCTAGGAAACATTTACACTTAAGAGCAGATCATAAAATCTATACTGCCGCAACAAAATCCCATTATCCTCTGAACTGGATGAATGACTATACTGACTATACTAAGGAACATTCACAAACACATCACATAGGCATAAAACCCAGAGACTTAAATCAAATAAAATGACTCTCAACCCCAAGATATACAATAAGGATTCCTTAGTCGATAATGTCCTGTATTGTATAACTGTGTGCTGCTGTTGTGGTGTGTGCCCCCTGTGTAGCCCTCCTGAGACAGAAGAGTCACCCGTAGGATCCCCCGACCCCCAGCGCCAGGAGTGGTTCGCCCAGTACTTCACTTTCTGACTTTTGCAACTCGAGAGCATGTCAATCATAGGAAATGAAAAATACAAAAAAAATTAACATTATTTAATGATCTCCCACTCCATTTCATTCTGTTGATTACTTCACCGTGAACGGGTTCCTTGTTTGTACAGTGCCGATGAGTATGTTTGACGTTTTATTTTCTGCAGTTTCTAAAGAGTGATGCATATGCTGCTACAGTAAATTGTCCTCTCTCTGTACCTTATTTTAGAATGGCACCATAACGAGAGTTTGTTACAGCCGCATAAGCAATTTTGGTAGAATTAAACTGTTTGTATGGTTGTCTCAACACAGATATAATGATGTCTCACCAATTTTAAAAATAAATTGCATATTTTATATTTATATTATACTATGTATGCTTAACTAATAAATAATTATTGTGACATTTAATCAAGATATGTGTGTTGTCTTTGTTTTGGGGCCTTTCAATTTATGAAGGATTTGTACCATAAAGTACTGTGCCATAGAATCCCAACTTCAGCAGAAAATATTTAATTATAAGTTGTATGGAGTGTTTGAATGCACTCCATTATGTTTTTGAAATGGTGTTTTACACTGTTTAAGGTCAAAGTATGTACAGGTATTACTGTGTCTGTGTTCAGGTCTGGTTCAGGTGAATTTCTCTGGTCCTGTTGTGGCATGTGGTAGCCTTGTGGCTGCGCACTGCTTTTATTTTGGATTGACCGAGACACTAACAAGTCAGAAAATATAAGGGGTTCCTTCCATAAAAGCCATTTCAGATTATTTTGACCTTCATAAAAAGCACATGTTTTCTATTGAATTATTGTGTATTTAAATGCAGCATTTTATTAATAGTGAGTATTTTAAGACAGTGCTGTGATGTTTCTTCCGTGTTATAGTTTTAAACACCCCTGTGGGAGTACTGAGTGTGTGAATCCAGGGGGAAGTTCCAAAGTTCTCAAAGGTCATGGCTAGAAGGGATCCAGCTTTTGTCAAATTAATGTCAGATTTGACTTTTCGTAGCAGGTTAAAAGACCTTACGCAGCAGGTTAGGATAATTATGTAGCAGGTTCGGAGAATTAGGTTAGGGTTAGCAAAAAAAAAATATATATATATATATATATACAGTACCAGTCAAAAGATTGGACACACCTACTCATTCAAGGGTTTTTCTTTATTTGTACTATTTTCTACATTGTAGCATATAATAATAATAATAATATGCCATTTAGCAGACGCTAAATAGTGAAGACATCAAAACTATGAAATAACACATATGGAATTATGTAGTAACCAAAACAGTGTTAAACAAATCAAAATATATTTTATAGTTTAGATTCTACAAAGTAGCCACCCTTTGCCTTGATGACAGCTTTGCACACTCTTGGCATTCTCTCAACCAGCTTCAAGAGGAATGCTTTTCCAACAGTCTTGAAGGAGTTCCCACATATGCTGAGCACTTGTTGGCTGCTTTTCCTTCACTCTGCGGTCCAACTCATCCCAAACCATCTCAATTGGGTTGAGGTCAGGTGATTGTGGAAGCCAGGTCATCTGATGCAGCACTCCATCACTCTCCTTCTTGGTCAAATAGCCATACACAGCCTGGAGGGGTGTTTTGGGTCATTGTCCTGTTGAAAAACAAATGATAGTTCCACTATGCGCAAACCAGATGGGATGGCGTATCGCTGCAGAATGCTGTGGTAGCCATGCTGGTTCAGTGTGCTTTGAAATCTAAATAAATCACAGACAGTGTCACCAGCAAAGCACCATCACACCTCCTCCTCCATGCTTCACGGTGGGAACCACACATGCGGAGATCATACATTCACCTACTCTGCGTCTCACAAAGACACGGCGGTTGGAACCAAAAATCTCACATTTGGACTCATCAGACAAAAGGGCAGATTTCCACCGGTCTAATGTCCATTGCTCATGTTTCTAGGCCCAAGCAAGTCTCTTCTTCTTATTGGTGTCCTTTGGTAGTGGTTTCTTTGCAGCAATTAGACCACGAAGGCCTGATTCACACAGTCTCCTCTGTTGAGACGTGTCTGTTACTTGAACTCTGTGAAGCATTTATTTGGGCTGCAATTTCTGAGGCTGGTAACTCTAATGAACGTATCCTCTGCAGCAGAGGTAACTCTGGGTCTTCCTTTCCTGTGGCAGTCCTCATGAGAGCCTTGTTTAAAGTTGCATTTGGATTTTGGAATCATGTGTAGCTGTTGTCAAACGTGTTTATTCCTGTAAGCTAATGTTAGCTATTCCTAGCTAAACAACCAGTAGATCTGGGCCCGGTTTCCCAAAAGCATCTTAAAGCTGCAATATGTAACTTTTTGGCCGACCTGACCAAATCCACATAGAAATGGGAGTTATATATCTGTCATTCTCATTGAAAGCAAGTCTTAGAAGCAGTAGATATGTTCTATGTGCGCTGTTTCTATGCTTCCTGTGCTTAAGTTTCGTTTTTGCATTTTTTACTTTCGGTTTTGTAAACCAGCGGGGGACCAGCTTCAAACAGCTGAAAATACAATATTTTTGGTTATGGAAAATAGATTTCACAGCGGTTTAGATGGTACAATAATTCTCTACACTATACTTGCTTGTTTTGTCACATAAACTAAAATTAGGCAAACTATTACAACTTTAGCAACCAGGAAATGGCGGAGTGATTTCTGCATGGTACACCTTGGAAATGAAGCCCTTTATCTACTTCCCCAGAGGCAGATGAACTCATGGATACCATTTGTATCTCTCTGCATCCAGTATGAAGGAAGTTAAGAGGTAGTTTCGCGAGCCAGTGCTAACTAGCAATGCAATGACTGGAGGTCTATGGTATCTACTATTTCACCCCTGTAGATCCATGATGTTGATAGACCTGAGCTGGTAGCTCTGATAGGGCAGGTGTTTGAAGCGTATGTGACAGAGCACCACAGGACTGACATTCTGCAGCTTCTGGAGCTTGATGAAGATGCCCACTACCCAGTGGTCATCAACACGATGATGCTATTCGAAGCCAACAATGGAGGTGGGAGACTACTTCAACGCCTACCCCAGCGAGGGGTCATCAACATCTTCGACAACGCCCTTCACAGAGCCACCAAGATGGTGTCAGTGAACTCTACACAGCAAGGCTGGCACAAGGTCAAACACCACCTGCATACCCAAATCACAGGTAAGAGGCCCTTACCATAGAAATCCTATTAAATTACTAGAGGGGCAATATTATAGACCCTCAAAGTTCCAGAATGGGGTGAAAATAGCAGCCATATTGGTCAGTGCAAAATCCAAACCAGTCTAATTGGAATGAATTGTCGTAGACGCATAATACTGATTTCCCTTGCAGGAAAATACAAGTATGGCATGCAGGGGCGATTTTAGCATGTACATCTTGGTGGGGCAAACAAAAAACAAAATAGTTTTGATGCATGCCAGCAAAGCCACAACACAACACTAAACAATACATTAATTTGACTATAACGGTGACAAACGGTGCCCACAAACTGTTAGGGCCTACATAAAGCTGTCCCAACAGCAGAGTCCCAACAGCAGTCCCAACACCTTACCACTGCTACATCTGGCTATCAGAGGAGCCTTGTCTGGCAGCGAAACAGTTTATTCAGCCTCATTTACTGCCTTTAAAAAAAAACATAGCTGATATGGCTGACTTGCTTAAACAAATGTGGTTTCTACTCACAATTGAGATGTACAAACTATGGCATAAGGGGACAACGAACGGATAAGAGACAATCCGTAATTTCAATTAAGACAGTAATGAGCGAGCGAGGACGAACGTAGTCAATTTAACTATTTATTCAGCACTTTTGAAATGTACAGCGACAGAATTCAGAACATGGGCCGTTCTTACAGTATTCTCCCTGTACACCAAGTCAGAACCGTAGGATAAATAAAGGGGGCATATAAGCAGACAATGAAAGCTCTTACAATATTCGATGATGACATTTCTCTAAAACAGACTATAGGTTAAATGTGCACCACCAAGTCAGAACAGTAGGCTAAGTTATTAGGGGAAAAGGGAGCAAATTATTAGGGTAAGACACATGGGCTACTAACAGCTTACTACACAACATACACTTAGTATTGCTTTCTTAGCTACAGTATACATATCTCCCTGGCACATTACATCATCTATGCAGCAGCATACAATACCTTTTTGGACTCACCTTGTTGTGCTGTGTTCACTTGAACAGGTGGCAAACAAGGTGGCGCAGAGGTCCTTTGTGGCATATTTTGTCATCAAAGTCTATCATTCTCTGGATTTATGGCGCTTTCAAGACAACTGGGAACTCTGAAAAAATAACGTTGAATTATGATGTCAGTGATCTTTAGGTCGGAGCTCTAGAAAGAGGCCAGAGTTCCCGTCTTGGAATTTCGAATTGGATGACCGTTCAAAACTTATTTTCCCAGTCGGAGCTCGTTTTGTTCTGCGTTCCCAGTTGTCTTGAACTCACTGAAGTCTGAGATTTCCCAGTTCCGAGTTTCCAGTTGTTTCGAACGCAGAATAAGTTATGCTGGATTGACAGCATGGCCAATGTTGAATGTTTATCCTTTTAAGCTTGGAAAAGAGACCCTTAAACCCAGACTTGGACCACACACCCACTCCATTAAATAGCAGGCTAGTGATTGCTTTACAATGCTTGCAGTTAGCCACTGATTCCTTTCAAACCACTCATTGTTGAATTTGCGATTTCCAACTTGTTGTGTAATGTTTATGGCCGATGAGCACCGATTCGTTTTATCTATAATTTTTCTTAATATGACAAGGATTGAAAAGGATTTGCCGGTAGATTGTCGACTTGATTCATGATGATGACTGCTTGCTTGCAAGCTAAGATTTTGGAAGTATGATGTTGACATGATCAGTCCAATCAAAGCTACGGTACATATAACATGATTTGAGGTAATTTTATCTGTGGCCAATGACCTTCTTGGATGGGCACTTCTAATGTAACTCTACGGCAGCACCCTAGGGGCTTGAATTTTCGAGCTCTCCCCGTAGATTTTGCGGTGACGTTGTGTCCCCATGAGTGACAGAACACTGAGCTAATCACGGCGCAACTAGAGGACATTACCAACCCCTACGCTCCGTATTTTCCACTGGCTGCCCTCCACCACCGAAAGCACTGAGCTAGGCTGAAACACCAGCATTTTGGAGCTGCCTTACTCAAGAAAGCAAAAAAGAGACCATGTTTGTATGCGGCTTTATTAACTCAATTATATATATTTTTTAACATTGTTTGCAAACTGATATGTGACACGTATTAATGCCAAAATAACATGCAAAACAGGCAAGAAATGGCAGGTCGCCACTGATGGCATGTGATATATCAGAAATTGTGTAGTAGAATTATTGTTAATCTAAAATATTGTCATATAATTATAAACGGGTTGGAACCTAAATTATTTTCCAATTGTTTCGTTCTGAACAGAACCACAATTTTTTTGTTCCGTTCCACTGTTCCGACCAGCAAAATAAAGTTCTGAACCGTTTCGAACCCAAAAAAAGTACAGGTTTATATCGTTTCTTGTGTCTGTCAGACTAGCGCAACCTACACACCTAATTACTTTAGCCATTGTGCACTGCGGTTTGAGGTCTCACCACTACAGAGAGCAGTGTTATAATTAGCCAGAGGATGCGCTTCAAAGGGCTCTTGGTGATGTAGCCATGTGTGTTCTGGTGGGGAATGTTACTGCTACAAGGCCATGTTTAAGGTCAGACCAATATATTGCTCCTCAGGGTATGCTGGGCTGTTTTGATGCCTACATGTTTTCAACATGTTGCTGGCTCGAAATACAAAGTATGTCTCTCTGTGGAGAGGACCGCTGTATGTGGGCTGCATCTTAAATCTGAGTTGTCTAATCTCATTGAGAACATGGAAAGTGCTTCACATAAAAGCACTGAAGATGTGGACGGAAAAGGTAAATGCCATTTGAGATGCCAGATGGAGAGAGATTATATGTTCTATGAGTCCATGATAGCATTTGTTGGACTGGAATATTGCATTGGATCCATCATAAAGCCCTATTTTCATTTTATATTCTGTCAGTGCGTGGGATGAAAGAAGAGCAGTGTCACCTATTAAATCAAATCAAAATCAAATCAAATTGTATTTGCCACATGCACCGAATACAACAGGTGTAGACCTTACCGTGAAATGCTTACTCACAAGCAATGTTCCCTCTAATCTTTTTCATCACTGAGCAAATTTCTGGTCTGCTGAGCGCAAACTTGAACATTGTGAAAATTCTGTGCAACTTCCGGTGTGTGTTTACTGTGAACACTGAGGCTGTACCTGCTTTAAGTTAGTTTTAACAGTGGTCAAGTAGGCTACTGTTGCTATTTGATCATAATGTAGGCCACCAGAGTGGAGAGAATGCATCTCATAACATTTTGACATGGAAATAGCTGTTCTATCGTTCAGCCTACAGTAGCAGCCAATGTGTGATGTTCAATGTAGGCCTACATTCCATGAGACATGCAGGTCTTGACATTAACCTGTTAGTCCACTTGTGACTGAAAATGTTGTTGTTTGTTTGATACAAGAAACAACTTTACAAAATAAAATGCATAATTATTCACATACCATTATTACACAGAATCAGACAAGTTATGCTACCCTCTGCCTATTGGCTACTTAGCTTATTCAAGCCTATCTCAAAATACAACACTGCCCCTTTAAGACAAAAAAAAGCTCTTTACCTGACTCACTTTTCAAATATGTCTAGAAATGTACACGTTTTGTGCTCTTGTAGGAAGCAATCACTCCCCCATTGCTGACTACAAATGATCTATAACTGGGCTGATAACTCACTAACTAGCAAAGGATATGAACAAATGTACAAATGTGCACACGTCGCTACACGTTGCAACATGTAGCTCTCGCTTTGATCTCAAAACAAGCGCATCTAATCACGACCGCTCATGCTGTAAAAACAGTCCAGTTCAAAGTGAATGGCACAGATCCATATACGGCAATGGTCTATTTGCATATAGGCTACTGCAGCTCTGATTGGTTATGGCGCACCGGTCTGTGTAGAGTACGGGCCTGAGTCGTGCCTGTCAATGCAATAGAATCCTACTCCGATGCGTTCTGCCTACAAAAAAATATCTTGCATAGTTCGTTTTGCATACTAATAAGTCTTGCATAGTTCGTTTTGGTTTCGGTATGGTGCATTGAAAGTGGCTAATATTGTGTTGATTCGATCACAATTTCCACAGTAAAGGGAAACGTTGATAGTGTTAACTAACATTTACATTTTAGTCATTTAGCAGACACTCTTATCCAGAGCGACTTACAGGAGCAATTAGGGTTAAGTGCCTTGCTTAAGGGCACATCGACAGATTTTTCACCTAGTCGGCTCGGGGATTAGAACCAGCGACCTTTCGGTTACTGGCACAACGCTCTTACCCACTAAGCTACCTGCCGCCCCAACGTGGAAAACTCTAGAAAGTTTAATCTCGTGCTTCTCTGTGCGGGCTGATATTTGTTCTGCGTGGCAGTCCCTGGGAGCTGCGTGCCCGCGCACGAGCGCATCTTAGGGGGAACATTGCTTACAAGCCCTTAACCAACCATTTTTTTAGGTGAATAAGCAAATATTTGCATAAAAAAAGAAAAGTAAAATAAACTAAATTTAAAAAAAATAATGTAACACAATAAAATAACAGTAATGAGGCTATATACAGGGGGTACCGGTACCGAGTCAATGTGCAGGGGTACAGGTTAGTCAAGGTAATTGAGGTAATATGTACATGTGGGTAGGGGTAAAGTGACTATGCATAGATAATAAACAGAGAGTAGCAGCATCGTAAAAAAGTGGGTCAATGCAAATAGTCCGGGTAGCCATTTGATTAACTGTTTAGCAGTCTTATGGTTTGGGGTGATAAGCTGTTAAGGAGCCTTTTGGACCTAGACTTGGCGCTCCGGTACTGCTTGTCATGTGGTAGCAGAGAGAACAGTCTATGACTTGGGTGGCTGGAGTATTTGACAATTTTTAGGGCCTTCCTCTGACACTGCCTTGTATAGAGGTCCTTGATGGCAGGAAGCTTGGCCCCAGTAATGTACTGGGCCGTACGCAACACCCTCTGTAGTGCCTTGCGGTCGGATGCCGAGCTGTTGCCATACCAAGCGGTGATGCAACCAGTCAGGATGCTCTCGAATGTGCAGCTGTATAACTTTTTGAGGATCTGGGGACCCATGCCAAATCTTTTCAGTCTCCTGAGGGGGAATAGTAGTCCTCTGTAGCTCAGCTGGTAGAGCACGGCGCTTGTAACGCCAAGGTAGTGGGTTCGATCCCTGGGACCACCCATACACGAAAAAATTTATGCACGCATGACTGTAAGTCGCTTTGGATAAAAGCGTCTGCTAAATGGCTTATTATTATAATAGGCGTTGTCGTGCCCTCTTCACGACTGTCTTGGTGTGTTTGGACCATGATAGTTTGTTGGTGATGTGGACACCAAGGAACTTGAAACTCTCAAATCGCTCCACTACAGCCCTGTCGATGTGAATCAGTTCCTTTGTCTTGCTCACGTTGAGGGAGAGGTTGTTGTCCTGGCACCACACTGCCAGGTCTCTGACCTCCTCCCTATAAGCTGTCTCATCGTTGTTGGTGATCAGGCCTACCACCATTGTGTCGTCAGCAAACTTAATGATGGTTTTGGAGTCATGCATGGCCATGCAGTCATGGGTGAACAGGGAATACAGGTGGGGACTATGCACTCACCCCTGAGGGGCCCCCGTGTTGAGGTGTAGCAGATGTGTTGTTAATTACCCTTACCACCTGGAGGCGGCCCATCAGGAAGTCCAGGATCCAGTTGCAGAGGGAGGTGTTTAGTCCCAGGGTCCTTAGCTTAGTGATGAGCTTTGAGGGCACTATGGTGTTGAAGGCTGAGCTGTAGTCAACGAACAGCATTCTCACGTATAATATAATAATAATATAATATGCCATTTAGCAGACGCTTTTATCCAAAGCGACTTACAGTCACGTGTGCATACATTTTTAGGTATGGGTGGTCCCGGGGATCGAACCCATTACCCTGGCGTTACAAGCGCCATGCTCTACTAATTGAGCTACAGAGGTGGGAAAGGGCAGTGTGGAGTGCAATAGAGATTGCGTCATCTGTGGATCTGTTGGGGCAGTATGCGAGTTGTAGTGGGTCTAGGGTTTCTGGGATGATGGTGTTGATGTGAGCCATGACCAGCTTTTCAAAGCACTTCATGGCTACAGACGTGACTGCCACGGGCGGTAGTCATTTATGCAGGTTACCTTGGCGTTCTTGGGCACAGGGACTATGGTGGTCTGCTTGAAACTTGTAGGTATTACAGACTTGGTCAGGGAGAGGTTGAAAATGTCAGTGAAGACATTTGCCAGTTGGTCAGCGTATGCTCTGAGTACGTGTCCTGGTAATCCGTCTGGCCCTGCGGCCTTGTGAATGTTGACCTGTTTAAAGGTCTTACTCACATCGGCTACGGAGAGCGTGATTACACTGACAGTGTCTGCAGGTCAACAGATATATCAGGAAAATAGACTTCACAAGTCTCGTGTGGACTCGCAGTGGTCACTGCTTAGGCCTAAAGCCTGTCGCATGCTTCCCAGTCAAAACAGTTCACTCATATATTAGTCGAAGTTCAGTAGCCGAAGTCTACGCCCCTTTGTTGATGATTGGTCAACGGTACTAACTCCTAGTAGGAGTAGGACATATGGACAGGATTCTTCTATGAAATGTTTGTTGTCATTCAATGAGAGACGACTACTTTTCATGCACATTTTTTCACTTGAGAAATACTGCACCAAACATCTTAGTTAGATGTAAAATTCCGTGACTAAGACCTCCTTGGCAAAAACGTCAAAATTAATGACAGATTTCTTGATTTATTTTAGATTAATTCAGTCTATTTTTAGAATAGACTGGCTATGTTGTTGCTACGGCGTCTCAATAGGGACAAACAGTAATATTTTTATTTTTAAGCAAAGGTCTTTTAAGGGACTATGCGAGGCACAGACATTCGCTTCGCCTAGCCAAGTTCTGCTAGGAGCAAACCGAACCTTTTATGCGGGTGCTTTTAAGCTAGCTATTAAAATAAAAGAGGGCTAGGTACTTTTATCCAATGAAAATCAATACTGTAGGCTACTTAACAGATGTACAGTAAGGCAACAACTTGTGCTGATGTTTAGGCCAAGCATTTTAACATTTTTCTATGTAGTGTGTTTTATTTGACTCTTGCAAGATGCATGCACTCTCCTCAATACAAGAGTGGGTAGAGATCCCCATCTGGTGGTATATATTGAGCATGACAAGTCATGCTGAGCTTTTCATTTCCAAGAATGTTGGTGCAGTTGTGTTAGCAATTCTGATTTTAAAGTCTAGTCCAGTGCTCCTTGGTCTATTTGATGTCCATGACCTTAACCTTCTCTGCTGAATGTGTCATCAAGCCTCAGGTCTTCCTGTGTGTCCAGAGCTCACCGGGGAGAACATCCCTAAGTCTCGAGACATGGGTCACTTCCTGTCCGTCACAGGCACGGTCATCCGCACCAGTGTGGTCAAGGTCCTGGAGTACGAGAGGGACTGTGCTCTAAATGCCGTCACGTGTTCTCCCTGCAGGGTAACTTTGAGCAGTTCTACATCTGCAAGCACAAATTGTAAGCCTATATTTGATCAGACTGCAGCCCCTCTTTCCCTGCTGATTTGTTTGCCCAGGCTCAGAGGCTGTCTGTGGGCAGTATTTCTCGCTCCATGGTGGTCATTCTGGAGGATGATCTGGTAGACAGCTGTAAATCAGGTAACACTGGTCACTATGACATCACTTCCCACTGGGAACAGATGTCAATTCAACGTCTATTCCACGTTGGTTCAATGTAATTTGATTCAACCAGTGTGCCCAGTGGGTTGTTACTATGATGTAATATTACAGTTGAAGTTTATATTGGAAATGACATCACAGTGGGAATTGTTACATAAAGGATATTGTCATATTATGGGATAAAAAAAATATATATTTATTTTGCAGAGGTGACATCATTATGTTGCTAGGTAGATTGTGACATCACTGAGTATTGGAATTCCACAGTGTGATGTGTGACCAATGATGTCATAATACTGTATGATGTTTGGATGTTACATTGTGGTGTCATTTTGTGTATGATAACATCACAATACTGTATGATTGGCTTTCACCCAAGATGAAGTCACAGTAGATGAATAGGAATGTTTTTAAAGGGATTAGTGACATCACAATGAATGTTGGGCTGAGTTTCTATTATCTCACTATTGTGATCAAAAGAAGTAAGGAGATGATGTCGCAGTGCATGGAGTAGTTTCTCAGCGACGGAAGCACCTGTACGAGGGCGCACGTTGTGAACTGGATCTGGTGTTGAAAGCCAAGTTTCTTGAACTGAACAATAAGCTGACCGTGGCAGCTCTGGTCCAAGAGGACATGCAGAAATGCAGAAGGAGTTTGACTAGTTCTGGGATAATTGCAAACATGACCCTATAGCTGGTATATAAAAACGAACCTAACTAACTTCCATTAAAACTGTTGCCATATAGATTTAGATACTACTTTTCAATTTATTTAATAGTCATTATTACTTGATAAATACTATGAGATGAGATGGAGATTAAGTGCTTATGGAATTTGATTGGTGTTCTTTTTCCATTTTCTCTCCGAAGGCAGGAACCAGAATCTCATGAGTCTGTGCCCACAGGTGTTTGGAATGTACGTAGTTAAATTAGCTGTTGCCATGGTGTTAGCCGGTGGGGTGCAAAGAATAGATCCTTCTGGAACAAAGTTAAGAGGTATCGATCCTTGTTCTAAACGTGGGCCAATTTTTCTCACATATCTTATATACTGCAAATAACGGTGTCCATGTTAAAATCTGATTCTAGATCTGTAATTTCGTCCTTGTTTAAGTGAGTCTCATCTTCTGCTGGTGGGACGTTTCTGAAGTACGCTGCTAAAATCACTCCCCACTCAGTCCTCACTGCTGGTATCTGCTCCACTACCAAAGGTCTGTCTGCCCTCTGCTGGTGCATCTGATACAGTGCACTTTGCTTAGAAGAATCCATGAAATAACCACTTATAGTAGTAAAAAATGTAGTGTGTGTTGTGTGGCAGCTGTGAAGGACTCTGGGGAGTGGCATCTAGAGGCAGGAGCTCTGGTGCTGTCTGACGGGGGCCTGTGTTGTATTGATAAGTTCAACAGCATCAAAGAGCACGACCGCACCAGTCTCCACGAAGCCATGGAGCAGCAGACCATCAGTGGGGCAAAGGCATTGTAAAGAAAATACAGTTTTTATATGTATATAGTCATAATATAATTCCAGATTCCGGTTCTATAAAGCCTCTTGCTGTAGTGTATCTTGCACTCGAAGTTGGTCTTTACTTCTGTTGTGGGTTGAGAGTAAGACATATCGAACATGATAATGTCAGTAAAAAGATAATGACATAATGACACACATAATGCACCTTCATTGACTTTGTGTGGTCTATTTCCCTCTATCCTGCCCAGCATGGTGTGTAAACTGAACACCAGGACAACCATCTTGGCTGCCACCAACCCTAAGGGTTAGTATGACCCCAACGTGCCTGTGTCGGTCAACGTGGCCCTTGCCAGCCCCCTGCTCAGCCGTTTTGACCTGGTCCTGGTCCTGGTCCTGGTCCTACTGGATAATAGAGACTGATTCAGACCTGGAAAACCAGGTGGTGGCCTCTCTGGCCAATTAATGACATGGATCGATCAGTTGAAGTAGAGAACAGGGAAAAAAGTATTTGATCCCCTGCTGATTTTGTACGTTTGCCCACTGACAAAGACATGATCAGTCTATAATTTTAATGGTAGGTTTATTTGAACAATGAGAGACATAATAACGACAAAAAAATCCAGAAAAACGCATGTCAAAAATGTTATAAATTGATTTGCATTTTAATGAGGGAAATAAGTATTTGACCCCCTCTCAGTCAGAAAGATTTCTGGCTCCCAGGTGTCTTTTATACAGGTAACGAGCTGAGATTAGGAGCACACTCTTAAAGGGAGTGCTCCTAATCTCAGCTTGTTACCTGTATAAAAGACACCTGTCCACAGAAGCAATCAATCAATCAGATTCCAAACTCTCCACCATGGCTAAGACCAAAGAGCTCTCCAAAGATGTCAGAGACAAGATTGTAGACCTACACAAGGCTGGAATGGGCTACAAGACCATCGCCAAGCAGCTTGGTGAGAAGGTGACAACAGTTGGTGCGATTATTCGCAAATGGAAGAAACACAAAAGAACTGTCAATCTCCCTCGGCCTGGGGCTCCATGCAAGATCTCACCTCGTGGAGTTGCAATGATCATGAGAACGGTGAGGAATCAGCCCAGAACTACACGGGAGGATCTTGTCAAAGATTTCAAGGCAGCTGGGACCATAGTCACCAAGAAAACAATTGGTAACAACCTACGGAGTGAAGGACTGAAATCCTGCAGCGCCCGCAAGGTCCCCCTGCTCAAGAAAGCACATATACAGGCCTGTCTGAAGTTTGCCAATGAACATCTGAATGATTCAGAGGAGAACTGGGTGAAAGTGTTGTGGTCAGATGAGACCAAAATCGAGCTCTTTGGAATCAACTCAACTCGCCGTGTTTGGAGGAGGAGGAATGCTGCCTATGACCCCAAGAACACCATCCCCACCGTCAAACATGGAGGTGGAAACATTATGCTTTGGGGGTGTTTTTCTGCTAAGGGGAGAGGACAACTTCACCGCATCAAAGGGACGATGGACAGGGCCATGTACCGTCAAATCTTGGGTGAGAACCTCCTTCCCTCAGCCAGGGCATTGAAAATGGGTCGTGGATGGGTATTCCAGCATGACAATGACCCAAAACACACAGCCAAGGCAACAAAGGAGTGGCTCAAGAAGAAGCACATTAAGGTCCTGGAGTTGCCTAGCCAGTCTCCAGACCTTAATCCCATAGAAAATCTGTGGAGGGAGCTGAAGGTTCGAGTTGCCAAACGTCAGCCTCGAAACCTTAATGACTTGGAGAAGATCTGCAAAGAGGAGTGGGACAAAATCCCTCCTGAGATGTGTGCAAATCTGGTGGCCAACTACAAGAAACGTCTGACCTCTGTGATTGCCAACAAGGGTTTTGCCACCAAGTACTAAGTCATGTTTTGCAGAGGGGTCAAATACTTATTTCCCTCATTGAAATGCAAATCAATTTATAACATTTTTGACATGCGTTTTTCTGGATTTTTGTTGTTGTTATTCTGTCTCTCACTGTTCAAATAAACCTACCATTAAAATTATAGACTGATCATGTCTTTGTCAGTGGGCAAACGTACAAAATCAGCAGGGGATCAAATACTTTTTTCCCTCACTGTAAAACCAGCTCTCTAGAAGTGGAGTGTAATAGCACTGCTCTTAGTGCCTGAGATATCTACCAATTACAGAGGTCATTTGAGGAATCAGTGGGATGTGATATCGCTAAGTTAAGCTACGCTGCAAACGAGACTTGAGACCTGCTCTGGTCTCTCTCCCCCGAAAGCCAGCAGTTGATGATTTGCATAATAGGAAGAGCTATGTTGAATAAAAGTCATGTATATTCTCTATGTCATCTCCCCAGTTTAATCAGTGTTCTGTGTCATTATCAAGACGACCACTCAGAGCTGTGGGTACTGAAGGCTGGGTCCTACTCATTTGGGCAAAATGTAGTAAAATGTTTTGCAACAGAAAACAATTCTTAATGAACAAGTTCAGATAGTCCCTTTCTGTTTCAGTCCTTCTGTCTGGTGACTAATAAATGCGACCCTGATAATGTTAACCCTTTCATCTGCCCTCCAGGAGCTCCCAGCCAGTCAGAGGAGTCTCTGTGGAGCATGGAGAAGATGAAGGCCTATTTCTGCCTGATCAAGGGGCTGCAGCCGCGGGTGTCTGAGGAGGTCAACTCCATTCTGTCCCGCTACTACCAGCTGCAGAAGCATAGCAACAGAAGGAACGCAGCCCGCACCACCAACCACATGCTGGAGAGTCTCAGCCGCCTCGCAGAGGGTGGGACAACATCTTACATCCCAAATATAATACAATTCCTTTCCTTCTGCACTCCATTAGGTTTAGTTGATTTACTAAGGTGTTTAGTATTTACTGAAACGGTAATAATTCATATTTATGATCATATTTATTATGTGAATGTTTTATGCTATAGTTGTTGATATGTGATCAAGCAGCTTATTAAGTTTCTCTTGGTCCTTGCAGCACATGCCAGGTTGATGTTTCGAGACACTGTCACTGTGGAGGATGCTGTTGTCGTGGTCTCTGTCACGGAGTGCACTATGCAGGTAGGAAACCTTACTTTATATGACGTTACATTTTACAATTACATTGAATGTATATGGTAATGTCTTTAGCCCAACATGACTTAATACACTTCATGACATGCATCACATGAAATGGAAATGGAAGTGTCAGGGAGAATTGTTGTGTGGGTGTGTGCCTTAGGGGGGCGCTCTCCTGGGAGATGTAAATGCGCTGCACATAGTTTAGTAGTTTCCTGACAACCCCAGTCAGCAGTACCAGACACAGTGTCAGATTGTTCTGGAGGGACTCCAGCTGCCACACATCCTCAACAAGGAGATGGACAGGCTCTCAAGGTGAGACTATGAGCACAAGTTATAGTTGTGAAAACTCAAAGGACAAAGTTTTGTGGTGTATGAACCTATGCAGAACCAGAAAAATGAGAAACTCTTGTTTTAATACATTCCGGAAGGTATCGTGTTGAACACCATCAGAATGCTGATACTGTGTTTGTAGAGAGTGCAACCTGTCAAGAGAATGAAATGCCCAGGCTAAGCCCACACACATACTCCTTCCAAACTACACTGAACAAAAATATAAAGGCAACATGTAACAATTTCAAGGATTTTACTGAGTTACAGTTCATATAAGGAAATCAGTCAATTGAAATACATTAATTAGGCCCTAATCTATGGATTTCACATGACTGGGAATACAGATATGTATCTGTTGGTCACTGATACCTTAAAAAAGGTAGGGGCGTGGATCAGAAAACCAGTCAGTATCTGGTGTGACCACCATTTGCCTCATGCAGCGCGACACATCTCCTTCGCATAGAGTTGATCAGGCTGTTGATTGTGGCCTGTGGAATGTTGTCCCACTCCTCTTCAATGGCTGTGCACAGTTGCTGGATATTAGCGGGAACTGGAACACGCTGTCGTACACTTCGATCCAGAGCATCCCAAAAATGCTAAATGGGTGACATATCTGTTTAATCTGCAGGCCATGGATTAATTGGGAAATTTTCAGCTTCCATGAATTGTGTACAGATCCTTGGAACATGGGGCCATGCATTATCATGCTGAAACATGAGGTGATGGCAGCGAATGAATGGTACGACAATGGGCCTCAGGATCTCGTCACGGTATCTCTGTGCATTCAAATTGCCATCGCTAAAATACAATTGTGTTCGTTGTCTGTAGCTTATGCCTGCCCATACCATAACCCCACTGCCTCCATGGGGCACTCTGTTCACAACGTTTACATCAGCAAACTGCTCACCCACACAACGCCATACACACTGCCTGCTACCTGCCCGGTACAGTTGAAACCGGGATTAATCCGTGAAGATCACACTTCTTCAGCATGCCAGTGGCCATCGAAGGTGAGCATTTGCCCACTGAAGTCGGTTACGGCGCCGAACTGCAGTCAGGTCAAGACCCTGGTGAGGATGACGAGCACGCAGATGAGCTTCCCTGGGACAGTTTCTGACAGTTTGTGCAGAAATTCTTTGCTTGTGAAAATCCACAGTTTCATCAGCTGTCCGGGTGGCTGGTCTCAGACAATCCTGCAGGTGAAGAAGCCAGATGTTGAGGTCCTGGGCTGGCATGGTTACACCTGGTCTGCCGTTGTGAGGCCGGTTGGAAGTACTGCCAAAATCTCAAAAATGTATGGTAGAAAAATGAACATAAAATTCTCTGGCAACAGCTTTGGTGAACATTCCTGCACTCAGCATGCCAATTGCACTCTCAAAACATGAGACATCTGTGGCATTGTGTTGTGTGACAAAACTGTACATTCTAGAGTGGCCTTTTATGCTGTTTAATCAGATTCTTGATATGCCACACCTGTCAGGTGGATGGATTATCTTGGCAAAGGAGAAATGCTCACTAACAGGGATGTAAACAAATTTGTGCACAAAATCTGAGAGAAAGAAGCTTTTTGTGCGTATGGAACATTTCTGGGATCTTTTATTTCAGGTCATGAAACACTTTACATGTTGCGTTCATATTTTTGTTCAGTATAAATCCCTTTTATAACATCTCCCCCACCAACATATTATCTCTAAACCCTAGCCCAGTGAAAATACTGAATACAATTCTCTGTGAAGGAGTAAGACTTCCCTCTCATATACAGTGAGTCATTGTGCTTTCTTCAGGCTGCAGAATAATGGGCCATGCTCCCCTAAAGTAGAACAGAAAAAAGGTGTCTGAGAAGCTGCGAGACAAATGGCTCAGAGAGATGACTAATGTTCCCCTGCAGTGAGAGGAAGCTGTGGGAGGAGGCAGCACCAGCAGATACCTCATAGACCATGTAGAGCAGGCCTTCTCCACAGACTCCCTGCCCTCCCACAGCACACCTCGAGCAGGGAAGAAACGCAACTCAAAGAAGAACAATGTCCCTTATAACCTTCCGTCTGGAGACCAGGACACCTCTGATACTGTGGGGGCACGGGGAGAAGAACTGCACTCTTAAGTGCACAGGGTTCACATTTAAACCTCTCTGCTCTTATCCTGACAGCTCAGACGTTCACACAGAGAATAGAGGTACACATAGCAAGGCAAACCCACAGAACAGAGACAATCATAACACAGCTTCTTCACGACAGAGAAAGAGAGAACAGAAAAGGAAAAGGGTGATAAACAGTTTTACAAAGACAGGCCAGCAGAGGGCAGCAGTGCAGCCAAGAAGCTGAGGCTGAGGGTTCAGTCTGAGGAGAATGACTTTCCCACTGAGGTGCCATGTGACCTGAGGTTAGTGGTCCCAGGGCAGAGGGAGGTGGTGGTGGGGGGGGGGGGAATCATGGGGCAGAGCAGAAACGCCAGCAGCTGCTGAGTAGACCGAGCGGTTAGGCTCTAGGTAAGAACAGAACTACATCAACAACCCGCACAGAGCCACCACCACCCCCACTACAGCCAGACCACCCAAAGCCCACTGTGGCGGCTTCTACCCTGGCCAAACTCTCCAGGTTCTCCTTCACAACCACAAAGGACCAGGAAGTTAAAACCCCAAAAACAACTCCTACGTCAGGGGCTCAGGTAACCTCCTCCATAGAGCGTAAAGCAGGGCACCAGGACACAAGGACACAAGCTATCACCAGCATACAGCAAAGGATAGGATAGGGACGCAAGCTAAAGCCACTACAGAGGATAAGACAAGGGAGTGGCAAGGGTTAGTGGAGGCAAAGACTTACAGACAGTTAACAGTAAAGTCCAGACCCCTGCTGGAGATTCTGCTGGCAACCCTAAAAAGAGGAAGTGTTTTGAGCTGGGCTCTAAAGGTCCTTTCTCAGGCTTCTCTATGTTCAGCTCCTCCATCTTCGATTATGATGATCTGGATGTGGACTGGGACGAGGAGTCAGGGAAAAAAGCAAAAATGTAACAGTGACACGATGTGTTTGAAACAGTGTGGTGTACATAATATTATTTGTGACTTCTCACCGTGTGAACATGCATGTGTGTGTGTTGTATTTTCACAAATGTATATAAATATGCAGATCAGTGTTTGATAATGAGATTCATTATTGACTTGATGTCGTGCTGCTGGCTATTGATCAGGAACTATGCCATAGATACAATCTTGTGAATATGTTTATTCTCTAAATGAAACCTATCTTTTACAAAGCCTATGGTCTTGTGTCACAATAGCTGAAATAATGCTGTTATATGAGGTAGTAAAACTTAAATATGACTAATTTGTTCACATGAGGCTGCAAATGGCACATTTTCATCATGGAATGGGCAAGATCACACCCTCCATAAAAATTTGCAATATTGCTGTAGGCAGAAGTTATGTTCATTCAAAGTCATAAAAAGAAGGCACAAGTCAATATGGGTGATAACTGACTGGGCCCTACATTTTCCTAAAGCTGTCTATTATGATTATGATGTGGTATGTAATGGTTTCATCTTCTAAACCACTTCCAGAAAGCAGAGCACCAAAGGGAGGATGGCTGTTGTCATGACTACGTGGATGGCATTCCATAGGGAAGCTTCATGAAAGGTTCTCAGAAAAAGCTAATGGGATCAGAGGAAGTCTGGAAGATGTGTTGGCTGGGTTCAGGCAAGGACACTAATAGTATCAATCCATCACTTCTCATAAGTAACATTTAAGAAGATGGAAACAAATAAACCAAATCTACCTAGGAACTACAAACCAAAGAGGCTGTACGAACCTGAGCCCTTCACGTATGGAGATGCACTGCAGACTGTGACCAGTACTGAGGATACGAAGACGCAGGACGCAGACGCAGGAATTAACAAGGTCAAGGTTTACTCAAACAATGAAAAAGAGAATGAACAAAGATCGAGTACATGACATGAAGCAAAACAAATACACACAACATCCTACAGAACAGTCCAGGGCTAAATAGGGGTAGTGATGAGATGAGGTGCAGGTGCGCTGGAGGTGATTAGGGTGTCAGTTTCTTGCAGGGTAGGCGGAGAGGGAGGTTTTTTTGTGGACAGCCAGACACGATCCCCAGGCTGGAATACAGGGGCCTCACTACGGTGGCGGTCGGCTTGGTCCTTCTGCCGACAAATGGCTCTCTGGAGATGGACATGGGCGGCGTCCCAGACCTGTCCGGCCCTGGGTGTCCAAGGGGCCAGGGCCAGCTGGTACCCCAGGACACACTGGAAGGGAGTGAGCCCTGTGGAGGAGTGAACGAGGGAGTTCTGGGCATATTCTGCCCAGGGAAGAAACCTCGCCCACTCACCCTGCCGGTCCTGACAGTGGCAACGAAGAAACCTCCCCAGCTCCTGGTTCATGCGCCTCACCTGCCCATTCGACTGAGGCCTATACCCGGAAGTGAGGCTGGCCGTGGCCCCGATCTTCTCCAGGAAAGCCTTCCACACTTGGGAGGTGAATTGGGGGCCACGGTCCGAGACAATGTCCTCCGGCAGTCCATAATGCCGGAAGACCTGTTGAAACAGGACCTCAGTGACCTGGAGAGCAGAAGGAAGACCAGTTAGTGGCAAAAGACAGCATTTTTTGGAGAACCGATCTACGACCACCATGACTGTGGTGAAGCCGTCAGAACGTGGAAGGTCGGTGACAAAGTCTATGGACAGGTGTGACCAAGGTCGCTGAGGCACTGGGAGAGGAACTAGTTTGCCTGCCGGGGCGTTCCGAGTTGTCTTCATTTGGGCACATATGGAACAGGAGTTGACATAGTGGGACACATCAGAAGCCAAGGTGGGCCACCAGTACTTTTGTGCTAGAGAATGCAGGGTGCGCGTAATACCGGAGTGCCCTGCTGTATGGGTGGTGTGCGCCCAGATCAGCAGGCGGTCCCGGACACTGGTGGGTACATACACGCGCCCAGGAGGGGCGTTGGCAGGCGCCGGGTCCTCCTGAGCCGCCAGGCGGCTGTCTTCGTCCACATCCCAAACGACAGGTGCAACAATGAGAGACGAAGGCAGGATAGATAGAGTACATGACACGAAGCAAAACAATCACACACAACATCCTACAGAACAGTCCAGGGCTAAATAGGGGTAGTGATGAGATGATGAGGTGGAGGTGCACTGGAGGTGATTAAGGTGCGTTGGGTTTCCATTCCGGTGTTGCTGAGGTGGTGCGCTCAGACCGGTGGCTCAGTAGACCGGCGAATCAGAGCACCGGAGGGGAGCAACGGGAGGAGATGTGACACAGACATTACAGTCATATCGACCCAACTTACTGAAGCATCTCTTTTGTTCTAGTTGGTGTAGGTCAGACTGCTCAATGTCGGCCAGACAGTCCCCAGTGAGGCAGTGTGATGGTGATGTTAATGGAGGAAGGTCAGAGGTGGGTGACAACAGGAGGTAAGATGAGGAGTTAATGGATCCTAACTTCCTGCAGATGAAGCAGCAGCCTCATCAATAATGAAGAGACATTGATTAGCCATCCGCCTTTCTGTCTCAATACTAGCACATACCTCACCCAATCACTACATGATGTCAGCCTTGTCTGGTTTTCCAGCAGTTTTACTCTGATTTTGAGGAGCATTGTATTTCTCATTTGTCCTCTAAGATGTGTGTCTGAGGTTCTTCTAATCTCAGTTCAAAGGATTGAATGTTCTTGTCAGAATACTCTTGGCACAGGTATAATATGTCATGTGAAGTGCTCATAATATTCATGGTTTTTAAGAGCTGTACTTTGAGAATTTGCAGTTTGACATATAATACTTACTTTTACAATACAATTAGCTATACCTATTCAAATTAGAAGAGGTGAAAGATGGATTGTATTCTTTATTGCAATGGATAATCTATTGCATCATTTACATAACTCCATAGTGTACATAGTGCTAATGTGGGACTTATTAGCCACAGTGTTAGTTCCTCTCAGCAGGTTTTGGCAGTCTGAACAGCTGACGGAGTTGCTTTGTGCCAAATGCACGTGTTGGTACTCTCATATGTAGTGGTCTTTGTTCAATTCAACAGACTGTTTTGCGTTTGTCCTCAGTTTATTCTTTGTGGCTGAGATTGGTGTTATTCCTCAGGGTTTGTCTTTGAATTTGGAGGATCATCTTTTAGGGTAAGCCTGGTCCACCTTTTGTTTTAGAACTTCTCAACTGCTTGGGGAAATTGTCTTTATCTAATATTTTAGGACCATACTGTATCATAATCATGACTGATATCGGCTTCCTTTCATTCCTATAAGAATGCATCTTTGAACAGCTCCTAACCTGTTCTAACTGTGTCACGACTGTCTGTGAGATGCGGTAAACGAAGTCAGGCACAGGACACAGAACTCTCGGATACGTACTTTTAATACGAAAAGGATCCAAAAGGACACAGAAAATAACTCCACGCAGGGAGGAAATAACCCGCTCACAAAATAGACAACCGTGAAGGGGAAAACAATCACACACAAAGTACAGATGAGAGACAGGGGTAATTATAAGGGAAACAATTAACATAATGACGAACAGGTGTAAACAATACAGACAAAACTAAACAAACACCGATAACATTGAACGGCAGTAGCTAGTACTCCGGGGACGACGAACGCCGAAGCCTGCCCGAGCAAGGAGGAGGAGCAGCCTCGGCAGAATCCGTGACAGTACCCCCCCCTTGACGCACGGCTCCAGCCGTGCGCCGACCCCGGCCTCGGGGACGGCCAGGAGGACGCGGAGCAGGGCGAGTTGGGTGACTCCGGTGGAACTCTGTCAACAGGGAGGGATCTAGGATGTCCCTCCTAGGGACCCAGCACCGTTCCTCCGGACCGTACCCCTCCCACTCTACGAGATACTGCAGACCCCCCATCCGACGCCTCGAATCCACGATGGAACGGACTGAGTATGCCGGAGCCCCTTCAATGTCTAGTGGGGGCGGAGGGGCCTCTCGTACCTCATTCTCCTGGAGTGGACCAGCTACCACCGGCCTGAGGAGAGACACATGGAACGAGGGGTTAATGCAATAATTAACAGGCAGCTGTAACCTATAACATACCTCGTTCAATCTCCTCAGGACTTTAAATGGCCCCACAAACCGCCGGCCCAGCTTCCGGCAGGGCAGGTGAAGGGGCAGGTTTCTGGTCGAGAGCCAGACCCGATCTCCCGGTGCATAAATCGGACCCTCACTGCGGTGGCGATCAGCGCTCGCCTTTTGCCGTTTGATGGCCCGCTGCAGATGGACGTGCGCAGCGTTCCATGTCTCCTCCGAGCGCCGAAACCATTCATCCACCGCAGGAGCCTCGATCTGGCTCTGATGCCAGGGTGCCAGAACCGGCTGATAGCCCAACACACACTGGAAAGGAGTGAGATTAGTGGAGGAGTGGCGTATTGAGTTTTGGGCTATCTCTGCCCAGGGAATATACCCCGACCACTCCTCCTGCCGGTCCTGGCAATAGGACCTCAGAAACCTACCCACATCTTGGTTTACTCTCTCCACATGCCCATTACTCTCAGGGTGAAAAACCGAAGTATGGCTGATCGAGACCCCCAAACGTTCCATAAACGCCCTCCACACTCTAGAGGTGAACTGGGGACCCCAATCAGACACTATATCCTCAGGCACCCCGTAGTGCCGGCAAACGTGAGTAAACAGGGCTTCGGCCGTTTGTAGGGCTGTAGGAAGACCTGGCATAGGGATGAGACGGCAGGCCTTAGAAAACCGATCCACAACGACCAAGATCGTGGTATTCCCCTGGGAGGGGTGAAGGTCCGTGACAAAATCCACCGACAGGTGAGACCACGGCCGTTGTGGAACGGGGAGAGGTTGTAACTTCCCCCTGGGCAGGTGTCTAGGCGCCTTACACTGGGCGCACACCGAGCAGGAAGAAACGTAAACTCTCACGTCCTTAGCTAAGGTGGGCCACCAGTACTTCCTGCTAAGACAGTGCACCGTCCGACCAATACCAGGATGACCAGAGGAGGGTGACGTGTGAGCCCAATA